CCCCTCGCCCTCCCCTCGCCCTCCCATCGTCCTCCCCTCGCCCTCCCTAACCCTCCCCTCGCCCTAACAATGTTGTTAGTACCTTAATGGTCACTGCCAAATGACCCAGTAAATATGGAACTTTATTTACGAAAGCAGGTGGATTGAGTTGAACAAAGGTGTTAGAATCATAATAGTCATCGTCTCGCGGCACCTATTACCCCAGCGTGGTTCCTGCAGCCTTTTCAAGCAACAACAAAGACGGCGGCGCTTTGCAGGCGGCGAGCGCGAAAGCGGCGGTTTCCCTGCTCTCGCGCGCTTTGTGCGTCGGCGCCCCAGCGGACGCGCGGTTTCCATTTTGCTCTCGCAGCCCGGCTGCCGCCTCCGGCCCCGTCGGCCAGGCCGGAAGGACACTCTTACTCTTGTTTCACTCAGACGCAGCCAGCAGCCTCGCGGCTGGAGGGGCCCGCTCATTCGTCACTTTCCCCCAGACGCCTGCAGTACACGCAGGCGTTGCGTTGGCGGGGTGGTCCCTGCCGAAATAAGGGCGCAGTATAACGCGTGAAAGATTGTATTCACGATGTTCTTTTATCAGTTTAGAGAATATTCTTACTTTAAAGAAGTTGCATGATCTATTAAAATTTCATTTAATTAACGGGTAGGCTAAGGTCCCATGTCCCCTAAGCGTAGTGTATGCTATTATTGCGGGCGTTGGCGGTGATCTTTCCCTGCAGGAGACGACCTACACGTCGGCTTGCCCAGCCAAGTATCTCCCACCAGCAGGGACAAGCTCTAAGCTCCCGACCGGTCTCCCGGCATGTGTGGTAGAACAGAACAGGTAGACAGCGATAGAACTCGACCCTAGATATCTGGCTAGTGTCGACAATCCTGCCACCGTCGGGACTCGTACCCTAGAACATCCCGGTCAAAGGCACTGCAGTGGCAGCATAGGATGCCCCGAGCCACTTAAGCCGGTGCAAATGATGGAAGAAAATACCGCACAGTTTAATGCAGGAAGGTTTCGTCTAGCAAAAATCGGTGAACGATTGCCAAGGAACTCTAAACTGTGTGATAATTATCTGCTAATCTTTAATTAGCCCTAATGGTCTAATATCTTTGCAATGTTTGCATGCAGTTACATGTTGAAAACACGTTTTAAACTAATTAGGAAAATTTTCCCTGGCCACTGTAATGACCTGACATATAATTGTGAAAAATGTTGACTAATTGAACTACCATACTGCGTCCAAGCTAAATACAATTTTGTTGCTGTAGTACCTCATAGTGGTTTTACACGTTTCACTGATGTACCACCCATGGAAAAATAATGTTTAGCGATCATTATTAGACTGCAGTACAAGAACTAATTTTTTAAGGAAGCGAACTTGATTTAACGGATTTTAAAGAGAAATGGGAGCAGTAAGAACGTTTGAAAGAGTGAATATCGAGCTTATGAGAAGGCCCTGAGTGAGTGTGAACGGAAGGTGTAATTGCTCAGTTAAAACATTCACGAAGTATTTTTCTCAACTAGCAATCAATTTGGTTACATTTAATTTCATCTACGCTTTAGACTCTGGGCAAATCCTTCATAAGTAATTTCGCTAGTGGCTTGAAATGTATCGATAAGTTCGCGTGAAACGTAGCGAGAAGTGGGCTCATCTCAGAAACTTCTAACGACGAGTGGAATTCGATTCGACTATTTTACGAATGAAGTCATACATCGATTAAATAGTATAAACATAATGTTGAAAACAGCAAAAAATATTTATTGAGGGTCTGAGATGTATTGATTACTGTAGTTTCCTACCTGGAAGAAATATTTATTTTCCAAAACAGTTGAACGTCCGGCATCTGCGGAAAGACGACAGCAAAAAGTTAACATGTGACTTTTCGATTGTAGACGCCCGTGAGTCATTTATAACCATCTTTTTACAAAACTCTATTGACCAGATTTAAACTAATGAATCATAAGTGACGTAGTCATCACAATTTTTATTGCATTGCAGTAAAAAAACTGTTTTATCCTTTTGAAGAATTCTTCTGCAAGGTAGTAATTCGTTTCAAACTCAGTCCCTTTCTAGACAATAAGGAATTTACATTTTCTGCTCCACTAACATTTGTGATATTGTGTTCTGGAAACGCAATAAATTACTTGTCAACCACGTTATTATCTCCGTCATTGTTCACAGTTATTAATATATGGAATTTCCATGTTTTCATCATCCATTTCGGTTTTAAATCACTAATATGTAGTCATGCTTTTACATCAGAATCGAAAAAGGATGCAGAGGATAAGTAGGGGATATAGTACTTCAATGAAACAGTAAGTTCAATTACAAGGGAAATGTGGAAAACAGCATGAATTTAAGAGAAATTTAGTTAGAATTTATAATACTTATTCATAATTTTTAATTTTTTGAATAGTTATGTTATTTTTCTTTTTATCATCTTGCTATGATACCAAAATATTATTTTTCTCACCTGAAGTATATTTCCATAGAGACGTATTTCGTTCAGACAAGGCTTTCAGTATTAAAAATAAATTATTTTTTATCCTGTCAGAAGCAGCTATTACTGACCCAAATTGAGTCTTGGCTGGTTGTCTATCTCTCTAAACACATTTCTCTAAACGAAACATTATTATTTTACTGAACGCTTCCCGAATGTTATCAACGACATATGCTTCCAAAGAAGCTCTTGCCACACTGGTGGCGCTATTTCCTTCTCTTCTTTGCGTCTCGTGCCTCCCCTCGACGCTACCAAAGGCAAGTTCATATTTCCTTTCTTTACCCGGTGAGGTGTTTAGAAAACCCACTCAACGGAAGTGTGCCTGGGCCCACCTGTCTCATCAGGTTTCGGACGCGTTTGACGTGTGGAGGAGCGGGAGGAGGACGGCGGGCGGGCGGCGGCAAACGAGCCCACCCTTTGGACCCGATGGTGTTTGTCCTGCACCTGTCAGCCGGCGAGGGGTTAGAAGAGGGCGGTGGGCGGGAGGCGAGTCTGGGGGCGGACGAAAGGTGGGTGACGGGGAGGAAGGGGGCGGGCGGACGGGCTGGTGAGT